GTTCTGATTTAAATGTGCTCATCAGCAGAACTAAAACATGCACAGAATTGGTTACTACACACAGCATTAGACAAAAGACAGCAGTTTACAATAACCACTGAGTTCCCCTTGCTTGCAGTCTGCTGTCACCACATGCTTTATTTATAGTAGGCCTGAAATAAATACTGCAGGATCAGCCATCTTTTGGGGCTGCACAAAAAAGGAAAGCTATTAAATATTTACCATAAGTCTCTCATAGCCTCGTCTCTGACACTTTCCCTTTCAGTAGAGGAAAGAATTATTTAGCTCATGATTTTCCAGCAAAAGACAGCCAATTGTGACTGTCTGGAAGTGAAGGGCAGCATCACTGGCATGGCCTGGGAGGGGGAAGTTTTGTCAATGTGCACCAGGCACAGAAGTCTCCACCATCCACTGCTCCTCTCCAGCAGCACAGAGTGATGCCAAAGCGGAGCCTTGGAGTGACACAGGAATGTTTGTGCCAGCAGAATGAGGCACACTCATGTTACAGCACTTTCCAAAACTAAGCCAGTACATTTGGTGAATCCTTTCCAAGGAGGCTGATCAGATTACTTGAGTTATGATCAAATGAATATTGTGGATGCTCCAGTGAAACATGTTGACAAATAATGCCACTCTCTTTTTGCATTTACTGTGCATTTAAAAAAGAAATCCATTTGTACAAAATAAAAATAGACTTTGCATGCATTTTGTTTTTCACTATGAACTGAATACTGCATGTCCCAATGTTTATGGCCTAGTATTTGTGGGAGAGACAGGCAGTTAAAGATGAACTTTGACTGGCCTAGAATTAAAATGCCTGAGGGCAGCTGCGTAGCTCAAGTAACTGATTAGAAACTGATACTGAAAAATGACTGAGAACTGCAGGAGGTCAAAAAAAGACTAAAAGCAAAGCAATGTCTTTTTCCACCTCAATCCAGGCCATTTTAGAGTATGATCATAGCCTTCCAGAGCACGGTCCAGCAGAACCAGCACCAACCCCACCTCAGTACATCTAGAGCAATGCAGGTTTCTAAGGCATAAGCTGCATCTATAGAGGTATACAACACTTTAGAAGATCAGCCTGGTTTTCCTGAGTGCCTCATGGGAGTTCTGCTAAGTAATAGTGCACGGTGCCAAAGACACTTCTCTCCTTCTCCTCTCACTCCTGCTCTTTTCTTCAGCAAAAAATAATTCACTTCCTAGATGTACTTTGTCCCCTAAATTTAAGGAGGCAGTGCTAGTCTGGAGGGTCCCAGACATTCCCAGATCACTGGATCACAGGTCCCTTTCTCCAGGCATCATCCAAATACTTCAACTTTCTGGCACTTGACCGTCTGCATCTCTTAGCTTCCCAGAAGCAGCAAAGGGAAGCATGCTGCAGGCTCTTCCTGAAAAATAGAAAAATAGGCAGCCAGACAATGCAGCTCAAGCCCCTAACACGTTGTGGCTGCCTGATCAAACCTCTGGCATATCTGGTGAGACTTCCAGTCTAATTTTGTGAGTTTATGTGAAAACATAGCATGGGTGAGGTGATAAGAACAATTTGAAGAGGGAGTTTAGGGAAGGAAGTTGCCAGAAAACACTTGACATCCACAAATTGCTGAACCCGTGGCTGAAACATGAAGAATGCCACTCAGGCCAGCACTGAACATTCATAGAAGATCTGTGTTAGTGTGCCTTGAACAATGCAAGTGGCTACTTCCATTAAAATTAATTAATACACAAAATCAGAGAATCCTATTGTTTAGGCAGGCAAGTATGAATGAGGGCTCATAACACTTCCCTTTTATTCTATGATTGATGCCTTGCAGGTGGATGTCCTGCACAAGTGCTGACACCATGTACAGCTTTTCTTGACAGCCAAATTAAAACAATAACCAGTTCCCCACCCTGAACAAAGCCCACAGGGAATGAAGTGTTATAATAAAAGTGAGTAGTAGCAAACACAGTCTAAAGTGTCAGGTAATAAACAACGCTCATGAAACCTTCATGGTCACAATCAATAAAGGGAAAGGCCATCGCACTTGAGAGCCAAGAACCATTAGAAAAATAAAAAGCTTTCTATCTCGGAGCATTTACATTGAGATTTCACATTCTACTGCTTCTTTCATGGCCTTATAGATTAAACAAGCAAGAACAGTTCTACTTCCAGCGCTGCAACAACGAAACCAAGCCATAGATTGCCTGGTAAGGCATTCCGTGACCTTGAAACATATTCTGTAGAGCCATGTGAGTACTCCACATACATGTCCAATATCATCACAATTCAGAGCTTAAGTTTTCCTATTGCAACAGTCAATCTCCTAATGCACATGTGTCTTTTCCATTGGAAAGGATTTCCAGCGTTTCCAAACTTTTATACAAATAGGATAAGCGAGCACTTCCATCTCTGTGCACTTTATGGCAACTAGGGCTACTTTTCCATAGTAGTAGAACACTCTGCTCCAGTTTCATTGCTGCAAGCCACGTCTAAAAAAAGTCAAAGTGATCTCTTAGCACAGTCATTTTCCTGGTAACCATGTCCCAGGAGATTTTGCCTCTCTTCTGTCTTGTCCATATTTGGTTGGAAGTTACTGTCCTTTGTCACTGCTACCTTCTTTTCATGTTAACTGTTATTCCCTTCACCAATCCAATATTTGTAAAATTTTTTTTGCTGAAAAAAAAAGGATATTGCATTGTAAATTTTGGGCAGGTGACTAAACTGTCAATCTTTTTGTCCTTAGGTAAAAAAAACCCTAGGAAAATCCATTTGTGTCCAGGGGAAAAAATATTTTTTTTTAAGGCAAGAATAATATAATTTCCTTATTATAGTGGAGATGCCTTTTGTTCAAGGCATTGAATTGATGATAGGGTCCTATGTGTACATCAGTTGGCCAATATCACTTGCAGGGTTTAGCTTCTATTAGTCTGAGTTGTGTAAAGCAAAGCCAGCTTAATGCCTCTGACCACAGGTTTTTTGAATAGCCCCATGCCATCTAAGAAAAAAAAAAAACATTAAAAAAATTGCTTTTCAATCATTTTCATTGGGTTTTCCCAATGAGGCTGAATGGACAACCAAGGCGAACTAATAGCCCACACATCATAAGGCAACTGGAGAGGAGACTCCATTAATTGTATAAGTTCAGAGCAAAAACATGATCTGAGAAAATGTTCATTTGCTAAAGAGAGCTGTTTCATGAACTATTTATGTTTACTAGTAATTAATTTACTTTATGCCATTTTCCTTTTTTTTAAAATGGATCATAGTTCATCTGCATCTATTATCTATGCAAGCATATTTCAGTCTGTTGAAAACTCCATTACTGTTTTCTTTGGTTGTTCTTTATCCATAAAACTTGAGTATCTGAATTATATATTATTGTTTTGGAACCAAGAGATAGGGCACACCTTAAAAAATGGAACAATAAACAAAGACGAAAGCAATTAATAAAGGTATTTTTTTTTTTTTTTTTTTTTTTTTTTTGAATGATGTGACCACCATTAGAATTGCTGGTGTTGTAATTTAGAGTTCAGCAAATTAAAAAGCACAATGATTACTCAAATGAAATATCCCTGGCAACACCTGATCACAATTACTGTTTTAAGTGACTTGTCTCAGTGATATGCATTGGGATAATCTGGATTTGTTAGTCATGAATTTTGGAAATCCTTCTTCTGTGTCTAAGAAGAGTTGGTTTGTAGCTTTAAACCGTTTATGTGAGGCCATAGAGGCAGACACCAGAGAACTTTTTAGATTCAATATTCAGAAAAATTAATACCAAATGTACAACAACCCAAAGCACAATAAGAAATTTTTTCTCTCAATGCAAAAACACAAAGGTTCAATAGAAAAACAGACAGACATGCTAAAACAATCAGAAAGGATTTTTCTTAACTTTCAAATAAAAAATATTCAGAACAATCTAAATCTCTGTAAAAAAAGATATAATGCATATATTTGTAATAACACTATCACGTAGAGTGAAAAAAAAGCTGGAGTGGGTGACAGGATGAGAATTCCACTACATTCATCAAGATAGTGATTTTCTACTCTATCTGGAACACTCAAAGACAAAGTGATGGAGGAAAATCAGCCACACACTTTGCATTATAGTACCCTGTCCTGTCTTGGAAGCTTCATCTAAACTCCTCACTCTTTAGCCACTAGTCTGTTCCTGATACTGATTATCTCTACTGCACATTCATGTATGAGATTTTTTGGTATATTCTCAGAAACTGTACTTCCACATTACAGTCTGCTTTCTGTACTTATCTTTGCCTACCCTGTACAAAAATGATCTTCTTCACAATGCAATAAAATTAGCACTAACTTCTCTTTCTATAATTATAGAGCTTTAAATATTAATGCATTTATTACAGAAATCCTCTGTGCAAGGTTATCTAACTTGAGAACAAGTTTCCTTGGAAGCAACATTAGCCAGCAGAAGTTAAAAGACCTATTAACTACCTTCTTAATGGCAAGGCAACTTTTATCACATCTCTATGATAAAATCTGCCCTCTCCATGTTCTACTGCCTCCCCTTCCTGCACTTGGGCTACACCTTTCTTATTCAGTCAGATGAAGAGCAGACTTTCAAACTCACAGGTGGCAGACCATTAGCACAAATTCTCCTGAGGTTCCTCCCATGCACTTATAACACTTGTTCTGTTTGTTGTCTCTAGAACAGTTGCTCATAAATTAGCCAAACTAAACTGTGTTTCCCACATGAGAATAACCAAAAGAAACCTCACTGTTGGATTCATTTAACAGAAACTTGAAATTACATCTGTATTCAATAGGCAAAATCCCATACAGACACTCCACATAACCATTCTGTTTCTATAGGAATCCATGCTGACTTCTACAAGAATCAGATCAGATTTTGGCTTTTTGTCTCCTATCTGTGCCATGAGCACCACAAATATATCTAACTGCCAGGCATAAAAAATTTGCAACCTTCAGTCACAAGTTTCATAAGTTGTCTGTAGTCATGCAAAGAGTTTAAGTTATACCAACATACTTCTGCAGAGTGAGGCTCAGGTTATGGCTGGCTGATTTGATCTTGTTCTGGGCCTCCAGGTGGGTCATGCTGTCAGTGTTGACTCCATCAATGGCCACGACAAGGTCCCCCTGGTTCATCTGCGACTGTGCTGCCTTGCTGCCAGGGGTGATCTGTGTGGGAGAAGACAAAAGAAGTCTTATCCTGATAAATCATTCTGTATCCAAAACAGTTGAAGAACTCACACAGAATTATAGTACAGAATAGGTACATCAAAAAATACTCGAATAGATACAACAATAGTTGTACCCATTATTGTATGGGTAGAAAATGAAAACTTAAAGAAATTAAACAAATCAAAGTTAACTCACACTTCTGCAAAACTCTAGGACACCATCTACTTTTTACTTCTATTTTGAGAGGTAAAGCCCAGTGTAGTGGTTCCCTTACCACCTATTATCACTATCTCAAGGGGATAATTATATTATACAGCTGCAGTATATATAGATGCTACTCAGAAGCAGAAACCTAAGGAACCACTATCCACTGCATGATTTTATCATATTTTTCCTCCTGAAAGTAATTTTCACCAAATTAATTCATTTTACTGAGGGGATGGAAAATGAATACATGTGAGTGGCCTTGGGCACACTTTGTTTCTTTCATAGCAAGCTTTAAGGAAATTATTCTGCTTAACCTTACCCATATACAACTGTAGCTCCACTACCAGCACAGATTGCTACATACCCATCTCATCAACCTGTTGGACCTCACACTCCAAAGACCAGCACTCTCAGAAGTAAAAAGCCACAGTGCTACAACCACAAACACAACTGACACAACAATTCAGAAGTTGTGTTTGTTCACTGTGGCAACACATTTTGTTAGCTCCAGTTAGCTTGTGAACTGCATCTTCTCTGAATGGACAGTACCCTGATCTCAATTTTACACAGCCCTGTCACTTTGATATGAATGACACCAGTAGAGTACTAAACCAAAAAAGCCTTCACATACCATCAGCAAGACAAATTTTAATGGACACATCAGAGATGTTCTCTGCTTTCAGCACCCAGTACATAGACAGCATGGATATAAGCTATAGGTCTTTGCTATTAGAGACTCACTTCCTTACATTCCTCACTAAAACACCCAAGCATAATCTAAATTACTACAACAAAGTCTGCATTCAAATATTCTGTTTGTTCAGTACAGTGAACATAAAAGAAAAATGTGTTTGATTATGAGCTAAAAGTTCCCTGTGAATTCAGCCAGGCTGAAACCATGAAGTTAAATTTCTAGGGAAACCAAAAACCAACACAAATTCAAACACTTGTGCTTAGTGAAATTCCTTAACTCGATATCCTTAATACAACCTCAAAACACTTATGAATATACACATACTCAAAAAAAACCTCCTTCAAAAACAATTTCCTAGACTGTTTGTTTGTGAACTTTACTGGCAAAGATGAACAAGCAAAAAAAAAAGGAAAAAATCCTTTATTAAAATGCTGTTAAAGGTGCTCAGTATTGAGGCCAACTGACAGTGTAGTCTGACAGTGGGCGGTGTCACTTTACTAGAACACTAGCTCTAGTATCAGAGTGCTAGAACACAGAGCACCCTGGATACTCAGGCTACTTAAAAGTAAAGATTAATTTGGAATTTTTAATTCCCAGAATTGATTTGACTGGAAGAGACAAGTTTTAATACCTTTTCATTTGAGATAGAAGCAATGAGTTCTGCCTTTTCTGAGTGAAGGACAGCCACAGATACAATGTTCTCATGCAAGTAGAGTTGACTGATAAGGGCAGTACTGTTACCCAGTGTATTTTCCTGGTATTAAGGAATAGAGGGATGGGGGAAATATTTTGTGGTAGTTTCAAAGATAAGAGTTTTATTCTGCAGTCTAATGCACCCTCACAAGAAAAAAACCAAACAACCAAAAACCAGATTGGTGTTACAAGCATAGTTTTCCTAACCTGTTACACAAACATTAGCTTCTATGCATTTTATTGACTTGCATTGTGCCAAGTACACAGAATTCAGAAGCCCATAAAGAATATGTATTATTTGTACACCGATGTGTACTCATAACAGTTACTTAAAGATCCTTCCCTGCTCAGTCCCACAAATATGTTGAGGAACAGAATTTGCAATAGAGTGAAAGGTAAAGAAAGGGAAAAAAGCAAACCAAAGTCAAACAAGTCACTAAGACTTGAATTCATCAAGTAGGACACTTCAGTCTTTTTCAAATTATCCTTTTTTAAATAAATAATCTGCACACATCACCCTTCTAAAGGCACCACTTTTAACCTCCTGATGAAACATACAAGTTCTTGCCACAGACTATTAACTGTGCAATGCTGATTCCAAATTCTGTGTCACCTCCTCCACATACACCTTTTTCTTGTCAGAATCAGATTGGTTTTTGAACATCAACCCAGTTTCTGAAAGCCAAACATCTGCCCTAATTTGAGTATTCTTACTCAACACATCTGTCTCTCCTTCCACTCCCCAGTGACGCCTCAAAGAAAATAAGCCCAGAGAAGCAGAGCTTCCACAGACAGGATAACAAACTCCAGATTGAGGGCTAGTTTAACACAGCTTGGACACACTGGCTTATCTCTAACCTTCTCTGACTTCTGCTTTTAGCAGCCCCACATGTAAATGCTATACCTTAAAATAAAGACACAGCAACTACAACCCTCCTAGAATTATAGTCAACTTAGAGGGAGGGGATGGTTGTAATGAGTGACCTAAATTTACTTCTTCTAATGGAATATTTTCTGCCTAATACTTTTAGAAAACACGACCTAAATGAAAAAACATTCATCTCAAGACTCTGTCAAACAAAAAGTCCTCAGTAACTCTGAATTTGTGATTTACAATGACTTTCTAACTTTGCAACACTGGTTCTGAGGCAAAGAGCTCCAGGAGAACCATACTCCTGAAAGACAGGGAAACAGGCATTATTTAAGACTGGATGCATAATCTGTGCCATATTTCTGTATGAAACATGAAAATCAAAGTACAAAATTTTATGTATTTTAGTTAGAACCCGAGAGACATCTCTAGAGATAAGAGAGAGTTCCAAGTGAAGTCACAGCATACATTTCCAGCAGACATTGAGAACAGTCAGTAATTGTTGTGAACAAAATACCAGTGTACAGATGGAGATACAGGGCAGACAGATCTGAAGTGTCAAGGCACATTCAAGACTATCTAGTTCCCATTTCTAAAGATCCAGCTGAAAGGAACGGAATGCAAAGAGTTTATCTTTTATCTGTTGGTATTTTCCTTGGAAAATTCATCTCTGATCTACTAAAACATTTACTAAATATAATCACAAACAGAGAAGAACTCACTGTGTCTTTGTAAAATCTTTGGTAAATATTTTCTATTTAAAAATATTTTTGGAAAATATTTTTGAAGGACAAATATTAATGAAACCTTAGAAATAGACTGGAAATATAGATCTGGCTACACAGCAAATTCTACTCTGCTCTTATCTCAGCCCCTCTTCTATTAACAGAAGTAACAAATTTAGAGAAATATGTTACTGCCAAGGATAAATATGCATTTTTCTATTTGACCACAATTCTTCTTTTTTCCTAAAACAAATCTCTGGGCAAGTTCTAGACAGAATTATTTGAGAAAACCTTTGCAATAGTCTTAACTCACTTGCTGTGGATTACAACATCACTTTCAGTTGCTAGGTGCTGCAAATGCCTTTATTTAATGCTACAGTGAGAAGTTCAACCGAGTTTCAGGGTACAGCTATTTCTGTCAATTAATTTACAAAATCCAATCCAGGGTACCACCAAAAGATCTAATTTTAATAGCAGTTCTTTAGTGCCTCAAGCCCAAGCATAGATTTCATCTTGAAAAGCCAAACATCTCACCTCTCTCAGAAAAGCAGAGGAATATGTGCTGCTTCAGAGATGTGAATTTTCAGCCCTCACAAATTTCCTACAAGACAGACATCTGACTTCCAGCATCCCCAGCTTAAGGCAAGTTGGCAGGCTGGAAGTAGCACATGTTACTTTCAACACACTACAGAGAATTCTTACTACCCTCTGTTGTGAGCGGATCTGTACACTGGGTGAATATATAGTACCACAGTGACAGCTGTGCCCTAAAAAAACTCATCTGCACCGGGTTCACAGTAAATACTACTTAGCAGGAGCTCTGGGAGGCAGCGTACAAAGAGCAGCTGCTGCACCACCTTGAGAACAGCACATGTTGCCAGCCAAGTCCCCTGAACTCCACTCCAAAGGGAAGAGATAGGGATCAGGCAGCATTTGAGTGGATGAGTGTTTAAATACTAACGAGAATGCTTGTATAAACAGATGGATGGACACAGTTTTCCTACCCCCAAGGAGCTCCTAATTTACAAGGCAGACAAAAATACATAAGGAGGCCTACACAAATGAGAAGCTGTTAATATAGCCTGCAGCATTAGCTGGGGCCTCTTCTTTTTCCAGCACTTAAGCTATGCCTGACTCCATCCTGACATCAACCCCCATATCAACAATTTATATTTTCTGCTTCTTATTTAGGAATGTCATTTCAGAGAATCAGATATTCACTAGCACCAGAAATGCACAAAAGCACAGGGAACGAATACCATCTCTTCTTGAAGATCTCTGGAACGGAAGAAATAATTAAATGTTCTTTTCCATAATCAGAAAATCAGAGACTATAATATGTTCTTACACGAAAAGGATTGGACAGAGACTAAGAAACACTAGAAGACACAGTATGTTTCCTCTCTAGAGAAAAGAACATTTAAATCTCCCTCCATCACATTTATGAAAGTATTTTTTTGCACAGAAGATTCCAAGAAACTCTCAGAGTAATTCTAAGCTCTGAGGCCATAAGTGCCTGCAAAACTTCCTCACTTTTTAAGGTCTTTTTGAGAACCCACCACTGAACAGCTGCTGAATGCCCACATGAATCCAAGCAGTTACCTCTGGACCACAGACATCTCTTCCTCTCCCACAGTAAGAAAGTTAATTGAGGAAATTTATATTATTTTTTTCCTAAATGAGTCACTTGCCATCTCTGTCCCCACAATAAATGTATAAGAGCTCCAAAGGGAAAATAATGTTTTTTCTGAGAAAATAGAAGTCAATTTTGGACAAGAAAAAAATGCAAAGAAAATGAGTAAGACCC